AATTTCTCTAAGATAATTTGAAAAAAAAAACATATAATAAAAAGGTAAAGAAAAATTCAAGTGGATCTGAATCTGACTAACCTTTATTAAGAGAAGGAATTAGAAAGCAGACTGAAAGTTATTCTGCTTGCGAGCCTTTCTTGTGAAGCAAGTCAGGATTTGATTTCGTCCCCATTTTTTCAAAAAATTATTTTCAACCACGCATCCTACTATAAAATATTTTTATACATAAATAAAAAAAATTTCCTTCTTTTTTAAACACATATTCTTCCAAAAAACCATTGTTTCAAAATAAATTTTCTTAACAAAATGAGGCTCAAACAGCCTAAGTTTAAAATACTTTCAAATAATCACTAAATTTATGGGAGTGTGACACTAGAGATGACAATTCGAACTGTTAAAATCGAAAATCGCTGTTAACCGAACCGAATGGGACGAAAAAAATCGAACCGATGGTGCAATGAGGTGATTATGGTTTTGATTTTAATGACCCGGTTCGAGGGTGGGGCGGGTATGATATTTAGCGACGGTGCCCGCCCCGAATCCATTACCCGTTAAAAAAATATTAATTGGGTAATTGGGCTTTCCATTAATCTTTCCCAAAATTAATTGGCCAATTTTGAACTCTTGGGCTCAATTTGAAGGCCATATATATATATATATATATTTTTTTTCTTTTTTTTTAAGTGGAAATTACGCAAAACAAGAGTTCTAAAAATTCAATTTCAAAATTCAGATACAAGGTTTCACTTTTCAAAAATCAGATATTAAATTAATAATTAAATATTATACACACCCAAACCCTAATTTTATTTCATTTTTGTCCCTTCTCTCTCTTCATTTCTCTTCCTCTTCTCCCTCTTCATTTCTGTCCCTTTTCTCTTTCCAGTAACCGACGGCCCTTTCAAACTTCGACAATCGACGACGAAGGAGATATGCCAGCCGATGCTACTGGCGTTAGACGCTGTTGAGAACGGCTCAAATCGTCGCTGCTTCGGCTACAGATCTGAGCTGCGGCGCCTTGAGGCTTGAGTGCCGCTGACCTTAGTAGCGACGTTCAGTTTGCCACTGCGCAGTGGTGTACTAAGCGCCCTGTGTAGGATTTGTGTCGTTTTACAATGGTTTGTGGTGATTTTGGTGGGGTGTTGGATATGGTGGTGGATGTTGTATTGTTGGTGGCGGCGATGGTTGTGATGTGGCGGTCTGGCGAGTTAATGGTGGTTGTGGTGTGGCATCCAGGTTGCTTTTAAGTCCAGCTTGGGAAATGATTTTTTGGCTGCGATGGTGAAGTTGGCGTCTGGGCAGGAGGTGGCGGTGGTGTTGGTCGTGGTGTATGTAACCAACTATTTAGATTAACTGTGATCCTAAAAATTGGACAATTTGTGATTAAAAATTGTGACTAATAAATTTGAAAATATGTGATTAAACAAACAATCATGATGCGTTGTGAGTTGTGACCTGGCATGTGACTTGATTTGTGACTTGTGACATTGGCTGTGACTCTTGACTTATGACTTGTGATATGAGCTAGGACTCTTGACTTGTGACCTGAACTGTGACTTATGACATGGGCTGTGACTTGTGACATGTAACTTGTGATCTGAGTTGTGACCATAAAAAAAACATGTTAACCGTACAAAAAAATATAGCGGAACAGTCGCCGGAAAATCGACGCCGGAATAGTTGCCGGAACGATCGCCGGAATAGGGCGGTGATCGGAACGGTCGCCGGAGCGGTAGGGTGGTGAAGGTGGGATGGGTTAATTATATTATTTTATAATTAAATATTTAATAATAAATTAATTTAATAATTTATTATTTCATAAATAAAAAGTTAAAAAAATTTTAAAAAATCTGATTTTGGTAACTTTAAACTTGTGTTCTTATTTTTGAAATAGACTAAACTTATACTCTTGAATATGTAATATTCCCTATTTTTAAAAGTAATGCCTTGAAACAGTGAAGCCCATTAGCATTTCGCCCATGGCCCAACCATTCAATTCAAGTATCAACCCTTCTCCAAACCATTTACAACGATTTCGCTGCTTCCGTCTCCACTCTTGAATCCTTCCTTCATGTCCTTCGCCTCCACCTTCTCTATCTCCCAATCTCGACGGTCGACTCCACTCAGTTCCCGCCTCTTTCTTAGTCCTCCCGCCACTCAATTTTCATTGTCTCATCTAGTCATCCCGTCAGTTTTTGCAGCTCACCCAGTCACCTGCTCTGTCGTGCCTCAACCACTGTCTATTTTTTTGCAGCAGAAGAAAAAGGTGATTAAGAGGTGAAGGCGTGAAGCCTCGCGACCCTCGCCTGCTCCGTCGTGCCTCGTTTTCCCTTTCTTATTTTTTTTTTAATTTGTGTAAATTGTAATAATGTTTGATTTTGTTTCTTTTTAACACAATGATCTTCAATTGATTTTGTCAGACTTCAATTTTCAGTCTTCCAGTTCCAGTCTCCAGTCTTGCTTTGGGGGTGCGGTTATGATTTTGGCCGAACCAACCCCGAACCGAACCGTTGACATCTCTATGTGACACACATTTTAATGGGTTGAAAAATTTTGGAATAGTGATTGATGAGAGAATGTGTGGTGGAAAAATGATGAAAAGTTCTAGATTTGTGTGTAATATTATTTTATTTGGAGATTGTGTGGTTGAAATGAAAAAAGAGAATGCGAATGAAAAGGAGAATGGGTGCGAAAAAGAGAATGGGTGTCAAACGGGGGCTATATGTCCATCACACTACTTAGAAATCTTTAAAATACTTTTGAGCAATCACTGAATATTAATATGTTACACTCTATCACTCATTCACCATGTTTCACTAGACACTGAGCCCCTGTTTGGCCTCCATTTTTGGGGGTTGAAAATTTTTAGAATAGTGATTGATGGAAGAATGTGTGGTTGAAAAGTTTTAGATTCGTGTGTAATATTATTTTATTTGATAAATGTATGTTTGAAATGAGGATAGAAAAAAATTAATGTAATGAAATTTAATTTAATGGGGCTCAATCGGGGGCTGGACTATGTCACGCTTTATTCACTGAACTTCGAAATATTTCGAGTGATTATTGAACTTTATAATTTTTTTAGTAAAGTTTATTTTCTGTAAAATTCGACCTAAATTAAAAAATATATATATCAACAAGATAACAAGACTTTCAATCTAAGACAATAATATTAGATATTGATCAAGAATATGTAATTTTTTTATTCGTCAAAGACTCAAAGGCTACGTTCAAGTGAAAAGAATAATACCAGCTTCAGATTGACATAAATTTTAATTTATATCATAATATTCTTTTACATTGAGAAAATAAAATAGATAAATTATATCTAAAAATGAGGCTTAAACCGACCTAATTTTAAAATGCTTTCGAATAATCACTAAATTTATATTCCATCACGCTTTAATTATAAATCTTTTAAACGCTTTTGAGCAATTACTGAACATTAATACATTGCACTTCATCACTCATTCGCTACGTTTCACTAGACACTGAATGTATATTCTCGTCACACTTCACTGACTGAACTTTAAAATATTTTCGAGTGATTACTGAACTTAAAAATTCTTTTAGTAAAGTTTATTTTTTGTAAAATTCGACTTAAATAAAAAAAAAATCAATTAGATAATGACACTCTTAATCTAAGACGATAATATTGATATTGATCAAGAATAATTAATTTTTTCAGTCGTCCAAAGCTATGTTCAAGGGAAAAGAAGAATACTAGCTTCAAATTGACATATATCTTAATTTATATCATAATCTTCTTTTACATTGAGAAAATAAAATAGATAAATTATATCTATAATTTTCGATTATAGAATCTATAATAACAAAATATAATTTTCAATTTTTGAACAATTGGATTCAATAGGTAAAGTTCAGTGACCACTCGAAAACATATTAACATTCGGTGAGTAAAGTGTGATGAAAGTATAAGTTCAGTGAGTAAAACATGACGAAAGTAGAAATTCATTTATTAGCGAAACACGATGAATGTCATAGAATGCAGTGTATTGAAGTTCAGTAACAACTCGAAGTCATTTTAATGTTCAGTGAGTAAATCGTGACAGGTGTGTAAGTTCAGTGACTAACAAAACATTTAACTCCAGGATATAAAAAAAATTGGAGCTATAGGGCTACCCAAATTAGTTCCTGGGTTATTTGAAATACGGGTTCTTTAATAATAAATTCATACTCGATAATCATTCTTTCAAAACTCTTTTTTTTTTTTCTCATATTCATTTTCAACTAAATTTTATTATTCACATAAACACAAATAAGTTCTCACGTTTAATTAATAATTTTCATACAAATAAATTTTAGGCAATTCAATTGCCTAGAATTTATTTTATTTCCATGTAAATTATATGCTTGCAACCAAATGCACCCTTAATTTTTCGCGCCTAATAATCCCAAAAACAAAACCCATCTTAAAATTTCTTAGATTATCAAGAACCAGTTTACCATTAATTTATTGCGAGGCATATCTAATTTTAAGGTTCATGACTGCCTGCCTGCCTATTGAAGAATGGGTCACGACTTAGTTCTATCCATGACCAGGATGAAAGTTAGGAAGAAACTAAAATAGTCTGAACAAAATATTGAAGAATCGACCGAGTCATGATTAGGAGTGAAATGCCACTCAAAACCAAATCTAGTTGGTTCTCCCCAAAATGGACGAGGACGAGTCATCCCATTTCCAGACTCAATATGCCAATTCTACCAGCAATATGCATCATTCCGTCTTTTACAGCAGTTCTTCCCTCTGTGTCTCTCTCCACATCCCCAGGAGGGGGGGGGGGGGGGGTAAGNNNGGGGGGGGGGGGGGGGGGGGGGGAATCATGCAATATGAGCACAAATCGTCTGCAAGTGCACTCACGTGCATATATAGAAAAGTAGGCCACAATCACTAAATTGAACAGTGGCAAGAATTGCAAAGCAAAAACGTCTGTGCAAATCAAGGTTTCAAGCAACTGTAATGCCAACTAAATATGTCATAAGTAAAGCTGGATTAGCTCGTCGCTTACTACAGATGGTGACAGAACACCCAAATCCGTGAAAAGGAAGGTAAGATACTGAGGAGGTGTATAATCCCGGGCAGATGTCTCGACCTCAACCTTGGATGGAATCGGTACCCCAAAATCAATTGGACGTAAGGCGGGAACCATGTCTTTTTGGTCCAATGGATAGAGACGAGCAAACTGCAAGAACGAGCATCAAATTGTAAATTGCTAAGTACTAGATCGAGAGCAATTTATATCTGCTGTAATTCCATCTGGAGTTTGTAGCTCAAAAATGATGAAAGATGACATAGCAATGGAAAACTTTGAGTCATCTGCCAGCTTCTTTTTAGAATCTAGATGGCCCATTCAAATACAAGACAAAAGATAACTTTCTCCAAATACCTTGTAGCTTTCAGCAGCAACATAAACTGGTTTATTCATGCTCTTAGCAACCAATGCAATTTGGTAAGTCCCCATCATATTTATTATACCTCCGCTTTCCACCACTCCATCTGCTCCGACGAACACCATGTCAACTTCATCCATGCTATATGCCACCGCAGAGTCTATCAAGAGCTTAACAGGAACATCAAGCTTGGCCAGCTCATTGGACAGTCTTAACCCTGTCCTGTCCGGTCTTCCCTCTGCATTCAGGAAAACCTAATATCAAACTTTATACTTTTTATTTGAAAACAAACTAAAGCTCCAACATAATGACAAACTTGCCTATCAGCACTAACTGAAAGTACCGGAAAATCTTTCCAGTGGGACTGAGTGTTACATGCCTTTCCCATTTATTTCAAGAGTTCTCACAAGCCGCCCACCCACTTCAAGACCCTAAACCATGGACAAGATCCTTTTCTTAGGTAGCATTTAGAAAGCCTAGAACATAATTCAGTTGCTAAAGCAGTTAAATGGGAGTCTCAGAATCCAGTTTGGTAGATAGTCATTACAGTATTTGTTAGGAAATCAGTCAAGCACGGTCCAGTTTGATAATCAGGATCTCTCTTCCTGCTTTTTTTAGCTAGAAAACCTTTTTCTGTTATTTCATTCACTTCAAGTAGATAATGTTAATTATTATGTGTGTAAATGAAGCCACACATTTTGTCTGGGTTATATAAAGAAAGTTCCCCCGACGTTTTTAAAATTTTTATTATTACTAACATAAGCAATTCTACATTCACCAGCATTTAAGTTAACAGATATCCTGGAAGACAAAAGAAAGCCAGGTTATGGATCAAAATTTTTGTATCGTGACACAAACTAATGAATTTCTAAGTCGTCGGAGTTAAATAGCATATCTTTTATAACTGCAAAGCCATTTTTGAATACAACCTGTGCAGAGAACTCGAAAAAGTTTCTTATTTTGTGCTGCTGTCCTCAAAACTTCCAACACCACACGAGAGAAGCCATGTACCAGTATTGTACAGCCATCAAAAATAAATTCTTGACTGAGCATTGCAATTATCTTGCGAGCCTGCAATACCAGAGCTTATTGAACAGCTTTCTGGGTTAAAGAAATTTCAGATTCGTGGTGAATGTAAATTGGTCAGAAGAATGATAGTGGCTTGAAAATTCAAAATTAGCTTGCAATTGGGATACCTTGTATGATATCTCACCAAACCTCTCTGCACGTTCAAGAAGGCGGGACTTTGCCGAATTGAAGTCCTCATATTCCAAAGCTGAAGTTCTTGTTACATATCGCATAAACAGATCACAGCCAGCTGTTAAAGAGATAGAGGTTGTGTCCCATGACTGAAACAAAAACACAGATATTAGCAACATTAAATCGTCTGATATACTTCAAAATTCTTCTACAAATCATTTGCATGATGTCAGCAATTGCCCCTATCACCAATCTTACTGATCATGTGCAGTTGTTACTGAAGAAAATCGAAAAACACTTGCAAAATATGAACATAACCAACTCTTTGTTGGTTCAGAGGGTAAGATTTGAATGCATACATGATATAAAGTACATGTACACAACACATTAAAACATAGCCCGTAACTTTGCCAAGTAAAATAATGCAAAGCAGTGCAGGGAAAAAAATTACAGATGAAAGCAAATAAAGAGACAGCCACTCAGCTTGGCCTACAAATGCTTCTTACAGCATGTGCCTCGAATCCTGTTGTTGGACATGGATTTATTGGAAGCTGAATTATGATTTACTAGTCCAGTTGGAGCAATAGAGACTAAGATAATGAGTTTTTACATCATTCTTAGACGATAAGGCAAAAATCTTGAGGAATCATGCAAAGGTCAATAAATTTGTCTGATATTTTACTATCCCATTGTACATAAATTTCTTCGCGAACAAAGACATCTCTTTCATGAACAGAGAACTTTAGGATACAATGCAGAATCTCGTAATATAACCTCAAGATTTGGATACATACCAGTACACTCAATTTGCATTTACAAACATTATTTTACATGGCTACATAAACACCATTAATATATAGTGCAATCTTCAAAGTTTAACATCTCGAATAAAATTTTCCGACATTGATCAGAACTTGGAAAAAATTATAGCCGTTCTCTCTCGAGTCCAACTCTGATGCATGGATTGTACCTATCTGTGATAATACTAATCTCATTTTCTAAGAAGGGATATTTAGAATATAAACTAGTAAAGAAAAATCCATAAGAATGGATCAAAGAAAAATAATAAAACAAATTCGCGTACTTTGAGAGAATCGGAGGCCTTTTTTAGCTCAATTTCCAGCTCCATCATAGTGGTGGCTTGGCTTGACCTAATAACGGAAGCCAAAGCCCTAATAGCCGCCACGGCCTCTGCCAAATCCGGCTGTTTACGCCAGTTATTGAACTCATCAATCACACTAAAACCATTTCCAGATTCTTCTCCTCCAGCAGAGGAATTATCTGATACGGCGTCTTCGGGGTGACGGCCAACAGCGGCTTGAGCCTGAGCCAGCCAGTCACTAGTAACGACGGCATGGTGAGCCGCGCGAGTCTGGTAATAGAGAGAGATTTGGGGGTTAGAGTTTTGCTGGGAGTGAGGATTTTCGGTGGCCATGGTAGCGGGGACAGAGGGCGGGTCTCGGCTTTTAGTACGGCGTCGTTTAATCGTTTGTCAAGAATGAAGGAAGCCGATCCCATCTGTACCACGTTTAATAAAGGTGTGTTTAGCGGCCACGCTATTTTGAAGGAATGTATTTTGAAATAGTAGATTGACGAGAAATATGTGATTGAAAAAGAAGGAAAAGTTATTGATGTGATGAAAAATATTATTTTATTAAAAAATGTTTGATTGAAAATGAGTAGAAGAATGAAAATTGAAATTTTAATATGGCTAAAATGTTAAGAATTTTTTCAGGGGTATAATTTTTAATGAATTGGGAATCAGAATCTGGGACTGGCTGACAATGAAATCTCAAACCGTTTGTGAGATGTCGATGGGACGAACGCAGGAGACACAAGAAAATGTTTGGGATTGCGAGTTAAAAGGTAAATTAATTGATAAATAATTGAAAGGATAATTGCACTGACAGGCTCAAATCTTTTATTTTATTTTTTTGCAAATTTTACTCAAATCACACTAATTCCAAACCTGCAAAATAATAACATTACAATTTTAACATAAACTAATTAAATAGAAAAGGAAAAGAAATAAAGAATGGCCCCATCCCCTAAACCAAATCTGTTGTCTACTTTACATGCATAGAATAAATTTTTCAGAATTACCAAAAACAGATTGACAATTGCAGAACAGGAAGAACAAAATGTATAAACATGAGTAGAATTCAGAATAGGGATGATCGAGGAGAAAACTAGGCTTTCTATCGTTTTAGAAATTTTAATTCCAAGAATTACATCTGCTACACCCAT